TGAATCTCCTAATAATCCTCCCGTGGGAGGATGATGCCATCTGCACTTCCCTGCTGCAGACAGGCTGTCTGTCCCCAGAACTCTGGCTCACACTGGTGCCACCAGAGACAAGCACCTGAAGGAACAGCACCATCCCTCCAGCCCACACCGCTGGCACCAGCACAGCTCTCCTGCTGCTGCAGGAACCTCTGCCTCCCCAGAGTGTCCCACACCTCCGAGCAGGGCCACACAGGCTGGGGGCTCAGGGCTGCAGGTCCCTCCAGCAGCTGGGACACGCCTGTGAGCAGCGCTCCAGCTGCACTGCAGGCAGCTCAGCTCACACCCACCCAAAAGCTGCCAGGCACACACCCTGCATGGGGGCTGGGGCTGGCAGCAGCACCAGCAGCCTGTGGTGCCCCGAGACCCAGCAGGCTTCCCTGTGCCAGGCAGCAGCAGCAGCCAGCCCCGTGCTGCAGCACTGCTGCAGGGCTGGACCCAAGCGTGCAGCGAGGCTGCAGGCACCACCTGGGGGCTCAGAGAACTTCCATCAGCTCAGGCTGCTGCTCAGGGCCTGGCACCTCCTCAGGGCAGGCTCTGTCCCTGCTGCCCCGAGCTGCTCCCTGCACTGGGGGCAGAGCAGCAGGCAGGGCTGGCAGCACAGCAGGGCATGGGGGCACACAGCATCCTCTGGGCTCTGAGCCTGCTGAGCTGCACAGGGCAAGGGGTGGCAGGGACAGGAACCATGGACTGCACCTCACACCCTGGCACTGAAGAGAATCAGCTGTATTCAGGCGTAGTCTGCATTCGTGGTAAAAAATGATTTATACTGACGTGCAAATTTAACCAGATGAAGCTTTTGATTATTTCCCCTATCTCTTGGTTTGTGCTATTTCCCTGAGGTGGAAAAATGCTCTTTGCCAGTAATTCATTATAAATGCCCCAGCCATTCCCATTAGCTACAGCAGGTCTCCACTGCACTGCTCAGTATTAAAATATGCACAAACTTCTCTTCTCTCCAACTCACCAAAACCAATTTTTGAATCACTCTGAGAATTTAATCACATTTCAGCTCTCTTGGCTATCATCAACGTGCATGCTTCACACAATATTTACTTTCAGTGCAGGTACCAAATGTAGATATGAGAGTTTATTTTACATACAGAGGACAATGTTGGCTGAATGCTCTCTTAGGGTAAATTGTACACACAGCTCTGCCCAGGGTTTGATACCAAAGTGCTAAAGTGCTCCCTAAACCCCTGCTAGCTCTGCACCAAGTGACATCAGATGAGAAATGGCAAAAGGAAGCCACGCCCAGCAGCAATATTAAATCAAAAGTACTCAGCCCAGAATAATTAACAAAGGCAGCAGAAACACCTCTTCCTAGCAGCTGAGTGCCCGACCTCCCACAGCAGGGCTGCAGGGCTGGGTGAGGCAGGGCACGCTGCTCCTGTCACTCGTGGGCACAGGGCTCTCTGAGGGAAGGGCTCTCTCCAGCCTGGGAGAAGCTGAGAGGAGCTGCCCACGACATGGGAAATGAAATGCCTTGGCAGAACACAGGAACCCAGAGCAAGACAGGAGGGAAATGAACCCTCTCTCCAAGCTGAGCTGCACTGCTCTGAGACTGGCCAGCACTGTGCAAGGAGCAGCATGTATTTAATTCTACTCTTTCTGACAATGCAACCAGGAGAAGCAAGCACAAAATCACCCGTGTTGAAATGTTCCTTAGGAAAAATATGCATTTCACTGACAGTCATGACATGGTTTGAAAAACTCTCCCATGATGGTTCATGGAAAATGCATGGCTGGAGGCTCACAGGCTGCTTTTAAACTCGGTGTATTTTGGGCTGTTTCAGCCTCTGCAGAACACCCAATTCCTGCACCTCCATCCACCCTCCCCTGAGGAGCCTCACCCACTGCTGCTCCGCATCGCTGGGAGCCTCCTCTGCCACATCTCCACCACTTAATGAGAAAGCAACAGCTCCAGCACTGCGTGTCTGCCAAACAGAGCCTTCACACATCCCAGACAAGCCAACAACACGGGATTCACAGGATATGAAACCAGAAAAACTCAAGCGGGGCATATATGGTGGTCATGTGAAAGATGTGGTCATTCATAGAAAGAAAAATAAGATGAAATAAAAGCCACCCTAAACCACAACATGATTCACGATGGTTACGTAAGGCAGCAGGCCATAACACTGTTTAAGTCATCTTGCAGCAGCACCACGCTGGTGTGAGAGGCATGAATCAAACGCCGTGTTTTCACAGGGAAAGGATGCTCAAGCACCAGGAGCTGTGCCTCCAAAGAGCTCCTAACAAGGTCCCTCCAAATAAAACTCTGAGGGTGGGCTCAGCTTGGGAGGAGCAGTCACACAACAGCCATGGACTTGGAGGACACTGCAGGAAAGAAACCATTTCAGATGGGGATTCTGTGGTCTGGAGATGGGACATGGTCCCCTCCCGTCCCTGCAGGCCAGGACCTCCATGTGCCCCTGTAACACATGCAGGGAACTGCAGATTTGGTTTCATAGTTTGCCTTTCTTCTGCTGAGCTGAATGGCTGCCTTGTCCCCGAGGAGCTTGTACCATTACCCTACAGATCTTACTTTTGCTCTGACAGATGCTGCAAACTATCCATAACCACTGGCAGCCAACTCCAGATATCTGTTCTCTGCAGATTTATACACACCACTGATCCTCCCATGGAGAAAATTCACCTCCTTGCCCAGCACAGTCACGGGGCTGAGGCAAACCACCTCCGAGGGCAGCTCTGGGTGCCCTGTGCACAGACACAAGGCTCCCAACAGAACCAAGACCAAGTGATCGTGGCAGAGGCCACAGCGATCCCTCTCCTTATTCAACTGCTTCACCAATGCCAGTTTAATTCCTCTCTGGGAACGGTGCAACTATCTGCCATAGCTATCTGCAGTTTACGTGCCCTTCTATTTCCCCTGTTCTCCTGCCTCAGGAGCTTGACAGTGTTTTGTGGGACTTTTGCACTTGATCAATCCCATGTTGCCATCTGTCTGCTCCTGACAAATCCCATTCAGGAACACATCCCTGCAGGGGCTTTGAAACCCTCAGGATGTGTAGATGGATGTCACTTACTTGAGCTGATCTGTTCCCCAGGCTCCCTGGTGCCTTTCCTTGAACAGGTGAGTGTTCAGCTGGTAGAAATCAGCCGAGCTCTCCTGGGACTCATTTATATCAACCAAGAATACAGCCCAAAATATAGAGTTCATTTCCCATGCATCAGGCTGTCAGACTGCATCCCTTGCTGAAAGGACCATTATCAGCAAAAGAAATGCTAGAAACACTTGAAAAATGGTGCTGGAACTGGATTTCTGGCAGCCTGCAGCAGGGGCAGATGCTTCTCAGCAGCCCTTGTCCATTCCCTGGATTCATTGACAGGGACAAGAGCTGGTTTTTCCCCCTGAGAGTTTCTTGTGATTATTGCAAAGAACAGAACAACCAAACCAGAAGGCAGCAGGGGCTACACCCAGGATTATTGAGAACTTGGATGACAATTTTCCTTAGAAAAGTAGATAAAAATTAAGTGGACACCTGTCTTTGTGAAGAGAATTTAAGAGTACGAATTTGGGGAACCACACAACAAAATTCTGTTTAAAGCCTTGCTAAGCCCATCAAGTTCAAGAAGACAAAAAAATACATGTAAGAAAATGTAGTTGTCTAATAAGGAAACAAAAATGAGCACTGCTACCAAGGGGTAAATATAGAGATGTCACCAGTTAATTTTATAATGACATCAACTGTGGAATTCTTAGGTATTAAAGGGTTCAAGGCAGACACGATTCAAGGGAACACAACCATGTGAAGAACCACCCTAATCAATGCAAAGAATAAAGGACACAACCAAAGTGAATCAGAGCTCTCCTAAGATGCATACCAAGCTGACAGCTGCACTCAGTGGAAATCAGGGTCACGCTGTGCCCCTTCCCTCCCAGCAGGGCAGCTGCAAGGGATGCTCCTCATCTCAGAGGGGCCCGTGGGCTCAGGGCTGGGTCAGAGAGCAGGACTGCACTGCAGGGTAAGGCCCTGCCCCGACAGAGGTGAATGCTGCAGGAAAGCACAAACACCACCAGAAGCAGAGATTTCTGCACTGAGAGCACAAACCCAGCGCTCTCTGGAACGTTCCTTTGTCCCTGCACTGCCAGGCCTGATCTGCTCCTGCTCTGGCAGAAAAAATATGCAAAGCTGCCCCAGCTCCCAGCTGTCAGGATTGCAAAATAAATGAGAGATTTGAATAAGTTTGCTTAATTTTTATCTGGATTAAGGGAATCTTTTACAGAAGAGAATCTTTTGTAGTAGATAATAGAATACATCTTCCTCTATTTTCCTCTTTGGGAAAAAATCTATTAAAACTGTATAATTAAAACTCCTGAAGATAGTTCAGCTAAATGTTTTTAATTGAAAAGTGGTCTATTTAAAAAAAATCTTTTTTAAAAAAATTAAAACCACTGTCTGCTCCCATGAGAAATGTCACAGAAAATTATTAATGGACATTCTTCATCAAAAATACTAATAAAGCTGTTCTTTACTCACTCACCTACTTGAAGCCATACAATTTCTATTTGAAAATCCTGGCCAGACAAAAAAATATAATGACATTCTCTAATTCCTTTTACTTAGAGTAACACAGATCCTGTGGCAGACACAAACCATGCTGAGGCACATGGGGCACACAGCAGGCTGTCCCTTCCCCTCAGTGCCCCTCTCTGATCAGCCCCGTCACCCACAGGGACTGAGAGAGCATCCCTTCTGTTCGGGGTTTTGGCTCTGGGGCTGGTTTATATTTCACACTTCAGGATCATTCAAAGGCACCACAGTTTGATTCCATACATCCCCAGGTGTTGCTGACGGACAAAGCAGAAGCAGACTGTCACCACCACACTGACTCTGCTGCCAAACTCCCATTTAGAGGCTAGTAGCAGATCCCATGCAGCAGTAATTTATTCATTTACCACAATTCCACTGAGAACAGAATTAAAAACGTTTACTTACTGATGTGTATAGGTATCCTTCACTGTTCATTGCCAGATATAATTTTGTTTGAACCCCCTGAATCGCCACCACTCGTAAACCCACAGGTATGAGGTTAAACAAAGCTAGGAGAGAAAGGAGATGGAGAGCAAAATTAATCCTTTGGAGTATGCAGATCAGATAGGAAACGAAACCAGAATTACCAGAACCAAGTAAAAATCTCTATTCATGCATATATTCGTTTCTGTGGGGCTACAGAGCAATACTTCTACCACCACGTCCTGTGACAGCAATTTCACCAGGAGCTCAGAAATGATCTGAGGGATCAGATCCCTCAGCTCCCTCCTTCTGACGATGGGGAATTGCTGACAGCTGCAAGAACTTACCTGCCTGCTGAGCAGAAGCCAGGCTCTGCTGGGTGCACTTGACAGTTTGGGTTTTGTTAGGGTGCTTTTCTTGTGCCATTAAGTGCAAGAAGGAATCCAGAAGCAAACAAACAACATTTTCAAGACAATCAAAACTTGTTTTCAAAGTCAGTAAACATTTTGACCAAAAGGAAGGAAGAAGATGAAATTCACAAAAGTTGAAAACCATCATTAGCATCTCAAAATGTTTCCACTTATAACTCATTGGGGTTTAATTTTCCCTCTTTTTAGAGGAGAATGGGTTTGAAAAAACAGAGTTAAATAACTTCAAAATGAAATGAAAGGGCAGCATATTCTTTAGATCAACCCCTAAATCTGTGCTTTCAAAATTGAGCTGCTTTGAATGTTCTGCTTGCGTTTCTGCTTGTACACATGCTAATAGTGGCAGTATTTATAAGCACAGAAACAACTCTTCAAAAAATGAAGATTCCGGTTTGCAAAGTGGCAAAGAAAAAAAAAAGGAAAAAAAAAGAAGGAAAAAAAGCAAAGCTCTGCCATAGCTTGGATTCATGGATACGTTAAAATTGAACACAAGAAATAATGAGTTGAATACAGTACTCTGTGTTCAATACGTAAGATTAAAAATAAAGGGGAATTAAGAAAATTATCATAACCCAAAGCATCTCCTTCCACCCTGTGGCAGAAATGCAGAGATAGGATAAAGCGATGCCAAACTACTCCCCATTTCCAGTGATTTATTACTTGGCTGAAAAACTCTGGTCTGCTTCAGGCTGAAGTTTGATATTTATGGTCACTGTCCAAAGCCAATTTAAAATCAAATTATGAATTTGAAATATTTTTACTATTTTCAAAATTACAGCTAAGAATTATGACCCATTATAATTTTTTTTTTCAGCCTGAAAACCCCCAAATGGTCATATTTCAGTAAAAAAAAATTAATTTCAGCTTGACAACATCTAACACAGATCCTAAATTCTGTTTGGGGCTGTCATGAGCACACCGAGTGCCCTGAGGCCAGGGCACCTTTGAGCACTGCACCTCCTACAATGCTCAAGCATAGCAGGAAAGGGGAATATCCAGAACTAACAAATAAATGCAGGCCAATATAAAATCTGTGTTTTTCTTCCTCTTTCATAGCCATGAGTGTACAGACACTGTTTGTGCAGACACAAACCACACATGCACACCCTCCTCACGCTCACCTCCAGCTCAAAATCAACACCCATTTCTTTCCCTTCACTCAAAGAAAATTCTACAGTTCTGCTCAGCTTTTGGCAAAAGAAACTTCGATTTTCAGTATGGGAAAAGGATTTTTCATTCATTCTATCAAATGCTTGAGTTTATTTGGGGCAGAAAATATTCCTTTGGACAGGGTCCTTTGCAGTTCAGCCCCAAAAGCAGCAGCTGATCTCTGCGTAGGCTGGAGAGGAGGATGCAAAGCTCAGCACCCAGGCAGAACCTGCAGGTCTCTTTTGGAAGGCACAAGGTTTCTTAAAGGCACAAGGTTAAATGTTTACAAGTAGGGCAGGTGTTGGGGTACATTCAGCACGAGGGTCTGAGCGTGGGCTCCACTGCAAGCAGAGCTGCAGGGCTGTCAGCAAGAGCTGAGGAGAGGGCAGGGATGGGCCAGCAGGGACAGAGGTGCCACTGAGCTGGGACAGGGGGACAGAGCTGCCACCGAGCTGGGACAGAGGGACAGAGCTGCCACCGAGCTGGGACACAGGGACAGAGCTGCCACCGAGCTGGGACAGCAGGGACAGAGCTGCCACTGAGCTGGGACAGAGGGACAGAGGTGCCACTGAGCTGGGACAGAGGGACAGAGCTGCCACCGAGCTGGGACAGAGGGACAGAGCTGCCACTGAGCTAGGACAGCAGGGACAGAGCGGCCACCGAGCTGGGACAGAGGGACAGAGCTGCCACTGAGCTGGGACAGGGGGACAGAGCTGCCACTGAGCTGGGACAGAGGGACAGAGGTGCCACTGAGCTGGGACAGAGGGACAGAGCTGCCACCGAGCTGGGCCAGCAGGAACACAGCTGCCACGGGCCACTGGGATGGGCTGTATGAGGAATTCCTGGCTGTGCTTTGCTGGCCAGTGGCAGAGCCAAGGCTGAGCCCTCCTGCCCGAGCAGGCTGGCACCTGAGCCACGGGTGGGTGCTGTGGCACCTGAGCCATGGATGGGTGCTGTGGCACCGGAGCCACAGTACAGCTGCTGCTCCCAGCACTGGGACACATCTCCCTGGCAGTCACGTCCAGGCTCAGTTTCGAGGCAGGACGAGGCTGAGGCACCCTGGAAGCTGCTCTAAGCCCAGTGGGATGAGCAGTGGCTGTGGCACAGGCTGCTGGAATTTGGGAACCTGTTGGAGCGGTGCCCACTCTGCCCTGTGCCAGCACAGCCACACATCCTGCCCCTTGGAGCTGCTGCCTCTAAGGACAGGGGCGCTGGCACTGCAGCAAAATGGGACTGTCCCTGTCAGCAGCAGCTGAGAGTGCCTGTCCCTGTCAGCAGCACGCCCAGCTCTGCTCCTGGAACATGGGTGACCTGTCCCCAGCCGTGAGCGCTGCCAGGACCCACAGCAGAGGCACAGAGAGCACAGCAGGATGGAGGGGTTACCTCACTTCTAGGGGATGCCCCTCATGTGGACAGATATGACAGAAGGGGTGGCAAAGAAGCTACAGCAAAATAAATTGCTTCCTATTGTGATCAGCTGGTGTCAGCACAAAAAAATCCAAAGCAATTTGCATCCCACTCTTTCCCTATTACATTTGCATTGTTTTAAATAAGGATATAAGGATAAGGATATCCTCCTAATGAACAGCTAAGCGATGCCTAAGGGAGAGATGATCTCTGCCAAGGCCTCTGTGCAGTACGAGCTGACAGAGAAATGAAGCTGCACAGGAAGAGGCAGCAGGCCACAGCTGGATTTATGAACATAAACATTTCTCTGAGGTCTGCCAGTCTTGGCCACTTGCACCTTCGTACACTTTCTGCCGGGCATTGTTCCCTACACTGCTTTATTTGATCAGTCTTCAAATCTTTTTGTCTAGTTGTGTGAGACCCTTAAGCATTTTTCACACCCCAAATCAATGCTGTAGTCATCTTTTCCCATTTTCTATTAATCCTCAAAGTTGTAAAAAAACCCAGTCAAAAAGAACAAGTAAAAATGCCCAGAGTTTTTTCACAGAAAACCTGAGGGAAAGCTGGTTGGAAATTGATGGTACAATTTATAAATGGTAACAAATAATAACAATAGGGAAATGTGAAGCTGAAAATGCTGCTAAGTCCCAGTTTGTGAAATACCACGGCGCTGTTTGAATGAGCCCCTGTGTGAGAGTGGAGATAGCGTTATTCTATTTCAGGCTCTGAGTAGGCGAGCAAATTTTCCCTGCCGAAAAAAAAAATCTAATAAAATCCAAAGGACAGCAATGAACTTCTCTGGATTACCATGGAGATAACATTTGCTTTGTTTGTCACATGTGTCATCGTTACCTCCTCTGGTTCATTATTTCTCTAAGTGATTTCTATCTCTACTTCTCTCAGACCCAGTAAGTCTGAAGGACCTGTGCTGGCAGCAGGCGTCAGTGCTGCTGCCACTCACTCAGCCAGCCCAGGACAGCAGCTCTGAGGGACCTGCAGGGGAGGGAGGGACACCACAATCACAAACACACCATTTATTCTCGTGTCACTTACTATAACTACTGTCTTCCTCTTTTGTTCCATCAATTGTTCCATCTGCTTGCAACTGCAAGTGGTATCCTTGCCTGCTGTACAGCTTTGTTACTATACCTTTAAGCTGAGGCTCTGCAAAAAAACAACAGTGAGATTAACGTGGGAAATCCTGATGTGCCACTCCAAGCGAGCAGGACGGGAAAAACAAATCTTCAGGTTTCTTCTCACGGCTGATGGAAGAAAAAGACCCAAAACAAAAGCAGGGCTACCAGCTTTGCAACACTTTCCATTTAGGCTGAGATCAAATTTATGTCTATGAAATCAATTGCCAGAATGATTAAATGCCACGTTCGATTACAACGTGAGTAGCACAGTAAAATCTACTTCCAGTGAATACGGATTCCAGCAGCACTCTTGGCTCCAGGAGCACAGCCCTATCTCATTTAAGATTAAAAATGAGCTGGCAAAGAGTACATTCAGTCTTTTAAAAAGGTGTGAGTTCTTAGATGGAGAGGAAAAAGAAGACTATTACAATAGCATTAATAAAAGCCACAGTGACAGTTGAGAGCCCAAATATACAGCAGCAAACGTTTAGCACAGGAACTGCTGCAGCTCTAATAAACAAACCCCCATTCCTCGCTGCTCCAGAGAGTACACAGCATCCAAAGAGATAAACTACTCAATGAACATATGGAAAATGGAGAGGGAAACCCTGAAACCCAGCAATGTGTGGAACTGCAAAATAAATATTACCATAAGGGCTGAGGTAATTACCTCATCAGCTAGAAGAAGAAAGATCAAAACAACGCATAGTTTGCAAAGATTTCTTTTTTCCATAGCCATCCTCAGATTCACAGCTAGAAAGCGAGATCTCTCACAGGGTTTCCTATCATTCTAGACCAAAAAGTACACAACAGCAGGAGATGCTGTCAAGTGTGCCATTCAAGATATCTGGCTAAAGCATCAGGAGTAATTGCAAAAAAAGGTCTACGCCCACTGCATCCCAATGACATCTGCATTGTAGTCATTTCACACAGTTAGTTCGTCAGGAGCTCATGCAGCCCTGCAGCTCGCTCCACAACATCTCGCTCTCCTCAGAGACAAACACTGTGAAGAAGTGGTGTGTCATTTCCAGCACTGCGTCTGGAAAAGACTCCTCATCTTTGTAACCAAAGGCACTGGGGCTCTGCTACTGCACTTCATGATAGCAGGGGCTGAAGGCAAAAGCTTGTCACAGTTTGCATAAGTGTATTAGATCTTATTAGCAACTTTGGTAAGAGTCCTGATGGACACACAACTCTTATCCACCAACTTTTCTGACCAGAAATTATTCAATCACTGTGGCTCGCTAGCCGCAATCCATCCCAAAGCTGCTGGCAAACTGTGAGCAAGGCAGACAGGTGGAGTGGCACAAGCATCAATGCTCCAGCACAGCAAAGCCCCGGCAACGCTGCCAGAGAGCTTTGCTCCTCCCACGTACAAAACAATCCACTCAGATCAGGGACCCAGTCCTCACGCCTGATCTTTGGCACCTGTGACCCAGAGAGCCTCGTGTCCACAGGGCAGCTGCAGGTATGGCATTCCTAGAAAGGCACAGGGCGCTGAAGCAAAACTCTGGAAGGTGCCAGCAAAAGCTCAAAACCTTGTCTGCAATCAGCAGATAAAGCGTGGCACGGGCATTCTGTGAAGCAGGACACCAAACCCAGATCTCCAGACCATGAAGTTGTTTCATACACAACTATACATTAAAGAGAGAGATGCATGCGTGGGAACGTCCCCGCTAGCGTGTCTCCCACAAGTACACCCGTGTGTTTGCATGTGTGTGACAGAGGGACCGACAGCTGACTTACAGGTACCCGGGTGCACACAGGTGTGCAGGTGAGGCACAGACAGCAGTGTCTGCTACCCAAATAAACCAGATGAACACGACAGGGGAAAGGACCAGCCTGGGGTACCCAGGTCCTGCACATCCATTGTACAAGCCGTGAAATGCCTTTCCCCCTTTCCCCACAACTGACACAGGTCCCAGCTTCCATGGCATCAAACCAACCAACCCCCCAAAGACATAACCCTTGCCAACCTGGTCGCCTTCTTCGCCTTTTCTTGGAGCCAAAGAGTTTGACCCTGGAAAACACATTCAACTTGTTCTTGTCGCAGCTTCCCTTGCTCTTGCTGGGGCTGTTGACACACTTACAGGCATTGGACTTCTCCCGCTCCCTGGCTTGTCTCTTCTGGCGGATCAGGGAGCTGGCGATGGCTGCGGCCATGGCCGCCACCGCCCCGGCTGCCCGGCGGGCTCAGGCACGCGGGGGTCGCCGCCCGGCCGCGGCCAGCATGCTGCTCGGCCGTCCCCAAGGCCGGGGACGCTGCCGGGCAGCCCGGCCAGCGGCACCCACGCCGGCCGGCCGGCAGCCCAGGACACACGGGGGGGACGAGCACCGAGCCTGGCGCGGCGCGCAACAGTTTAGCTCGAGCGATTTTGTCCTCTGGGATCTTCCCCTTTCGACTTTCTGGTGCTTTTTTATTCCTCCCAACTTCTAGCAGGGGAAAGTTTGCAGGCAGAGGTGAGCGTTTCTACGGAGATCACGCCGATCACTCTCAAGACATCCATCCAAGCTTCTCCAGACGCGCTATCTGCGTGCAGCCATGGCACATCCACTTGGTGCAAGATCATCGCATCTCTCCTAGCCCCGATTTCTGCAGTTAACTTTTCTTCCCACCCGTCCCCTCCCCATTCAAATCCCAGCAAACACCTGTTAGACTCCAGCAGGGGCTGTCTGGTTGCAGGGGTTTCTGGATCCTTTTCCTCTTCTGGCTTAGAAGAGGCCCGGAGCAGCGGGTGCTGGCGGCGCTGGGCTGAGGCACGGGTGCCCCGGCGCTGCCGATGCCTCGCTGAGCCTCTTCCGCGGCGCTCCTGACAGGTGAGCGCAGCCTCCCGCCCGGCACGCTCGGCTCTGGCACCGCAGCTCTTCCCAGCCGGTAAACAAGCAGCTCCCGAGCCGGGACTGCAGCAGCAGCAGCAGCAGCAGCAGCAGCAGCAGGAACAGCAGCAGCAGCAGCAGCGGCAGGATCCCTCCGGCAGCGATGCGGGCACCGCGCACTCCCCACGAGCCGTGCGCTGGGTACAGAAATGAGGCGACGCAGCAAACCCCTTATCACCACCTCCCTCCTCCTCCGCCCGTGCCTCCTCCTCCTCCTCCTCCCGCTCCTCTCCGGCGCGGCGGCGAGCGGAGAGCCCTGCCCGGCGCTGCGGGGCGGCCGCGGCGGGGAGGGGGCTGGGGCGGGCAGGGGAGGGGTACCGGGGAGGGGGTACCGGGGAGGGGGTACCAGAGGAGGGGGTACCGGGGAGGGGGTGCCACGGGACGGGGTGCCAGGGGAAGGGATGCCAGGGGAGGGGGAACCACGGGATGGGGTGCCAGGGGAGAGGGTACCGGGGAGGGGTTACTGGGGAGAGGGTGCCAGGGGTGCCACGGAAGGGGGTGCTACGGGAGGGGGTGCCAGGGCCGGGGTACCTGCGCCGCTCGGAGCCGCCTCCCGGAGGCGCAGACACCCAAACAGACGTGACTGCGGTGAGCAAACAGCCCCGGAGCCAGCGCACCTGGCTGGCAGCGGCGCCGGGCTCGGGGCAGGGCGCAGCTCCAGCCACAGCTGTCCCCTGCCTTCCCCTCATCCGTACAGCGTGTCCCCTCTCTGCAGCACGGATTTACTGGGGGCTTTTTGCGCCTCTCGCCGTTCCTTTCCACCGCCCGCTCTCAGCGGCACTTTTGTAGCAGACGAGGAAATCCTCGGGAAGAGCAATTTCCTTGCCGTTGCCATGTTCTCCCGTTTGTGTGTCCCCGCACGGAGCCCGTGTGTCCCGAGGCCGGGCTCTCCCGCAGCCCGGTTCGTTGACGCCGAGCTGCGGTGGCGGCGGGCCGGGCCGGGCCGGGCCGGGCCGGGGCCGTGAGGCCGGGCACAGCCGGGCCCCGCTGGGTCAGTGCCCGCAGCCCCCTGCCCAGGACAGGAGCGGGACGTCCTGGAGATGCCCCGCAGCCCACTCCCTGCTCTCCAGCCTGCTTCCAGCAGCCGGAGCCTGAATCAAAGCCACTTCAGGCTGGAAATGAAGCCGAGATCTGCAGCCCCGCAGGCAAACAGCTACTGAGAGAATTTGTCCCGAGGCAGAGGGATTCACAGGCGCCGAGGCAGGGTGGGATGTCCCCGAGAGCGGGGTCAGGCAGAAGCAGAGCCCGGTGCGGACAGCGATGGCAACAGGCTGCTGTCACCCACGGCGGGCAGCCGTGTCCCTTGTGCCCGGGCCGGGGGCTGCAGAGACCCCAGGGACGGCTGGGCTGGAGCGACAGCACCAGGCTCCCGATGTGCTTCCAGACCCGGCCAGCTGCTGAGGGTGTCTGCCCTTCCTGCTGTGCTCCGCGTGCCCTCACAGAACCAGGCGCTCCCGTCCCTGCCCGGGACACAGGCTGGCACGAGGCCTGGCAGGAGCCGCTGCCCAGCATGTCCCACAGCTCGGCTCCAGAGGTCTGCGGGACCCCTGCAGCCACTGCAGCCCTTGCCTCGGCCAGAGCAGCCACTGCAGCTCCTCACTCTCCTCCAGCGACGTGGGAACCCCGGCCCCACTGCCCGCTGGGCAGGCCAGGCCCTGTGCCAGTACACGGGCACCCCTGCAGCTGTGAGTGCCACCCTCAGGGACACGGGCACCCTGCAGCTGTGTCACCCTCAGGGACATGGGCACCCTGCAGCTGTGAGTGCCACCCTCAGGGACATGGGCACCCCTGCAGCTGTAAGTGCCACCCTCAGGGACACGGGCACCCTGCAGCTGTGTCACCCTCAGGGACACGGGCACCCCTGCAGCTGTGTCACCCTCAGGGACACGGGCACCCCTGCAGCTGTGAGTGTCACCCTCAGGGACACGGGCACCCCTGCAGCTGTGTCACCCTCAGGGACACGGGCACCCTGCAGCTGTGAGTGCCACCCTCAGGGACACGGGCACCCCTGCAGCTGGGGTGCCACCCTCAGGGACACGGGCACCCTGCAGCTGTGAGTGCCACCCTCAGGGACACGGTCCCTCCGAGCCTGCTGTGCTGAGCCTGGCACAGGGCTCACAGTGCCACAGTGCCCACACTGTCCCCCGGTGC